CACACTTTGTCCCTGGAATCAGAACCAGTGAAATCAGGACCCAGGAATCAGGAATCAGGAACCCTGGCCCTAAAACTAGAGCCAAAAGGCTAAAAAGGACCAGTGAAAGAAACATACTTTGGCCCTGAAACCAGAGCCAAATCTGACCCTAACCTGTGCAGAAAACTAACCAATCCTTGAGCAGGAGCTCTAGCTAATCTGAGCTCAGCATTGAAATCTGACCAATCCCCACCCTGGAAGCCCTATATACACTCTGTGTCTGTTCATGCTATTTGGCTGTCCTCTGCGCCACTCTCCTGGATTCTTCCCTCCCAATAAACCCCTTGGATGAGCTTCGGTTGAAGACCTTCTTTTGCAGCGACCCTGGGCAAAGCAGAGCGAGTGGGGCTGTAACACTTTTGCCGGGGTAACCTTCCCCTGGCAGAGTCGTGTTGTTACACTGGGTTCTCCACTCTCCTCCTGCTACACTGGGCAAACATCCCCAGCTGGAAGACCCTCTCCTGCTGGAGCAGAGCCAATACACTGGGGAAGCCTTTCCCTGAGGCAGGGCTGTAAGCTGCCCACACTTGCTGCGGCCTGTGATAGTTCTTGGCTCCTGAGCTCCAGGATACCTTTCCATCTGAGCTGTGTAACACTCAGTATTTTGTGACTCCCGAGTGCCAGAATACCTGTCCCACCCGATCTGCCCGAAATGCCTACAGTCTCACTAGGTAGCTCTAGTTGTCCTGGAACTTATTATGTAGAACAGGCTGGCCTCGAACTCAGAGATCCTTCTGCCTCTGCCTCCCGAGAGCTGGTACTAAAGGCATGTGCCACCATCATCCAGCTTCAGAAGTTTGTGAGACACCTGACATGGATGCTGAGAGCAAACTCTGGTCCTCCCCAGTGAGGGGCAATGTATTTGACTGGCTGAGCCATCTCTCTAGCCCCTAAGAAGCTCTGTTTTCTGTTATTCTGACCTGGGTAGATATCTCCGGGACAACCATTGGATATTTGCCATGTTTCTCTGCTAGAGTTAAGCTTTAAAAAAAAATGATCGTGAGGGTTATTCGTAGAAGAATTTCATATTTCTGAGCTCAGGCAACTCCTCAGTTTCCCCATTGGCAAAACATGAACTCTCCTTGGACTCTTCTCCAGGTCCAGTTCTAATGATGTTTATGCCAGGTCAGTTGGCTTTATCTGTAATCACAGCACTGAAGAGGCAGTGGCAGGTTCAAGCAGTCAGGGCAGTATATTGAGACTATCTCTTTAAAACGGCAAACTAACATCCCCTCCTGAGGACTTGCTTTGCTTTTGTCAGTTCTCTAATTTAAAGGAAAGATGGACTCCATGAAGGACCGTAATGTAAAATGAAGATCCATTACTTTTTCAGATGGAGTTGGTCTGTCTACTGGATTTCTGTGTTGTTTCCCCATTCCTGGGTTCCTTACTTCCGTTATTCCTGTCTATTAGGATCCCTTCTTGCTTGCTAAACTTTTGGTAACTGGAATACTTGGGATTTGTCCTTGGATGTGGTGGTGGTGATGACGCTAAAGCTCTTCACAGTCCTCAGGCTCTCCCTCTAGTAACGTAGTAGGACTCTATTCCCAACTCTTCTGAGGTCAGATTTGGCCATGTGACCTCACTGGCCAATAAAACGTGAGGGCACATTGCATCTGGTGGAAGATATTTTTTAATTTTTAAACAGCCAGAGCAAGACATTGGACATCTAGCAATTAAAATTTATGATTCCCTACTCTGGCAATCTTGAAAGCCTATATCTTAGTGAAGCATTCAGTAATCCAGGGACCTCAGGGACTGCAATGAGTAGCATCCCTGAAAAGTATGCTGAATTCTGTAGATCTACATGACATCTTCTTTCTCTAAACACTGGAAGCCCTGGTAACGGACAGTTCTCAGGTGTCCTTGAGAGTTCTTGACTAAGGTCACCTTCCATCCAACCCCGCAGTCTCTATAAAACAACTGGTTGAGAGAGACCTGGTACCCTGCCACATTTTAGGGCAACACTCAAAAGCCACTCCAACTCCAGAGCACCTGCAGGTTCGCTGAAGCTTTGCAACTATGTTATAGCTCAGTCTATCCCACACTCTCTAGTCCTGCTTTCCTTGGTTCCATAGAGACCCCACTCAGGATAGGTCCACTAAATGCTTCTATCAAACACAAAACAGGGTACGTACATTTCTGCCTTAATAAGCTAACAAGATCTGTGGGATGTTATTATAACCTACCCTATCCTGATCACTAGATTCCAAACCTGACTGCCCTATCGGTTCTGTTTTTTTATCAACTAGACTGGTGTTGCCTATCTTTTGTAGTAGATTAAGTCACTGCTAAGTGTCAACTCTTCTAGGTGATTGTCTCACTGTGAATAGTTACATCTGGACTCAGATAGTGACTGTAAGAGCAATAGAAAAGGGACAAGAGCTGCATATTAAGATCTACTGATTATTTCTGCTAAGTTAGTGGTATGAACTTTTTCCACATGAATTTCCCAAGATTTCTTTCCTACATAATTTATTACACATTTATAACATGCACAAGGGCACTTAATGTTTCTTGGGAAAATTTTATGCAAATAATAATTGAATAATAAAGTACTTGACCTCAATTCGAGGAAGAAAAATTGTATTTCACCAGCTAATAAACTTGCTGCACCTTCAACATCTGTCATTTCTCTGAGAACTAAATTTCATATTTTGAAAACTAAATGTTAAACCAATGCCAGTTCCTTATTTTAGGCCTTTTAGGCAAAACAAAATGATAGTAAAGCTAGAGTCAATGCATATTCTCTTTATTTTTTCAAAAGGGATTTTATTACAGAGAAAAAAATTCTCTCTGCCTGAAGGATAAACAGTATAAAAATATTTCAGCTAAAAAAAGAGCCCTAGGCAGGTATTACCACAACTCTTAATTATAGCAGATATTTACTATGATAACAGAAACCAGTTTAAGGAATGTGATTTATTAACATCACGTTCAGATAAAAAGATAAAAGACTTGAATAAGCAAGGGAACAGTAAGGCTTGAGGAGTGTACTTATGAATGTATCCTGGAACAGCCTTTAGCCACAATGAAAGACCGGCAAAACCAGCCTTCAGAAAGCCTTTCTGCCTACCGGGAGGAGGGAGGGCTAGACTCCATCTCTTAAGATCGCCCTCCCACGCAATTTTTCCACCTCGCAGTTAAAGAATTAAAGCCAGACTTCCGATCATGGCGCCAAGCACGTCACCTTCTCCCCTCTCCCCTAGCAAAATCCCACCCAAGTCGGCTGACCCCCGCAGGGGATAGTCACAGTGCCCTCCCCTATCCTGGTTCCCAGAGTACAACCAAACTGAGATTAAAAAAAAAAAAAAAAAAGGTTTAAAGCGGTCGTAGGAAACTGCGGTGCGGGCGAGACCTTCTCCATTGGATGAGGAGACAGGATCCCACTCCATACCTGGAGACCACAACTCTGCGCCCGCCGCAGTTTTCCTGACACAGGCCCTGCAAAGCCCCTCCAGCCTTTGTGAATACAGCCCTCCCTGGGAGGGGTGCGGGCGGCTGTGCGGGCTCACGCTCGCACAGCAGGCCGGCGGGTGCGATTTTAAGTCTCCTCGCCGGCTGCCCATCCTCGCCATCGCTCAGCAGCCTCGTCACCTAAGAAGGCCGTGGGGCCAGCAGCTCGAGCGAAGGCCGACCCCGACTAGCGCGCACACGTCAGGTTCACGGTCTTCACGAGTGAGGCTTTTGTTTGCGCCGCGAGGGGAGGGGAGACGGACGCGGCCCCGGAGTCTCGGCTCCTGGGAAAGGCGGCTCGGCCCCCGGATTCTCAGGGAAACCGAGGAGGAAGCGCCCGCCGCTACCGACAGCAGCGGCAGGATGTCCTCCAGGCTTTCCACCCAGATCCCAGGGTAGCATTAGCCGACGTTAAACAAAAGATGTGGCCGCCCCCCTCCCCCAACCCGCTCGCACAGACCGCCACACCATCCACGTGCGGCAGGGACGCGTGTGTGAGCAGAGGGACCCAGGCTGCCCGCCCCACGCGGGCCCCACCCTGCCCCGGGCCGCTCGGGTGAGACACGCCGCGCCAGGGCCTGGCTCCACGGCAGCTAGCCTGGGAGCGAGGGGCGGGGCCGGGCGGGGCCGCGGGCGCGCAGGCGCAGTGCGGCTCTGTGGCGCCGCCGCCGCCGCCGCCGCCGCCCGCGCTGCACCACAGGCCCGAGACAGACAGGGGTCGGGTAGAGAGCCGGAGACTGAGAGGAGGCGGCGGCGGAGGCGGGGCGACTCCGGTGACCGGGAGCGCCTCAGACTGGCAGCTGCGGCGACTCCCCCCTTTGTGTCTGGTCTGCTCGGAGCCGCTGGAGGTGCTTCCCGGAGGGGCGCAGGGTGTTTCGCAAGCTCTGCTGCCCACCCCTTCCTCGGCCACCTACGTCCTCCTTCCCGCCGCCCCCCGCCCTCGGCCCGCGACGCCCGAGCTCCGCCCGGAGCCCAGAGCTGCGGAGAACGAGGCGGCGGTGGCGGCGGCGGCAGCAGCAGTAGCAGCTTCCTCGGGAGGGGTGCGGTGATTCGCTCCCGCGAGCCAGCGAAGGCAGAAGACCGGGCTTCCATGGTGGAATTTCGTCCAGGCAAGAGCGAGCGGCGGGGATAGCCGAGAGCGAGGCCGCAGGCGGAGCGCCCTCGGAGGGCCAGCCGGGGCAGCTCCGCACGTCCCCGCGTGTCGCGCTCCGCGGCCAGCCGGGCCGCCGCGACCCTCCCCTCCCCCGCGCCGGGAGGCCCGGCCTGCGCGACCCTCGCGCGATTGTTCCGAGGAGGCTGTGGGCTCGCCCATGGAGGCAGGCACCTTTTTCGACCCAGTCGGCGGAGAAGATTTGTTGATGTCGAAATCCGAGTGAAGGGAGCGACGAAGCGAAACTTTAAAAGGAAGCCTACTGTCCTCCGAGTCGGGAGCGATGCGACTCGGGCGGCCGGGCGCCGCTGCCTGCCCCGCTTCGCCCTTCGCGGCGGTCGGGAACTTGTTCTGATCCTCAGTGTCCCCATCGAGTCCCCGCCCTCCCCCCCACCCCACCCCCGGCACTCTGGATATGTTTTCTCCCAGATCTGGATATTTTTTTGATATCGTGAAACTACGAGGGAAATAATTGCAGGGATTTCTTCTGGGCTCCCTGCTTCCTCCCCCCACGGACATGCCTTCAGTCTGGGGAGCCGAGGCACCCCGTCCTAGACGAGTGAAGCCCCCCCAGCCACGAGGGAGCGAAATGAAGGGAAATTCTGCAGTGGAATAAGAGCTCTACAGCTAGGTCCTCGCATCTGCCGTTTGTCCTTTCAAACTGCATTGTAATCCGGGCAGGGTAAATCAGACGGAGAGACGAGCAGCCTCCTGGCCGGATTTCTCCGCCCGAATTTACTTTCCATATTTCTTTTCTTGGCTCTCCTGCTTCTTGGCTGGCCCAGGGATGTCTTCCTCGCTGCAGCAACCCTGTCGGGTGCCCCGGCTGCTTTGGGCCGTCCTGCTGGTCAGCACCACGGCTGGTGAGTAGCCCTGGGTGGCGCGTCCGGGCTCCTATCCCAGCGGGTGGCGAGGGAGGGAGCCTGCAGAGGCCCTGGCCTGTGCTCGCCCTTCGCAACGTGTGCGCTGGGTTCCTGGTCGAGGAACCTGCCAGCGAAATCACGTTCAGTGTTTTCCTGTAGTTTCCCGTCCCCACTCCCGTATTCCCTGACCCCTCCCCCACGGAGGGGGGAAAAGACATATTGGGTGTGGTATCTTGACATTTTTAGCTGTGAGGTAATGCAAGGATTAAAAATAATATTTTAATCACTAGTGAACTGTGTCTCTTAGAAGATTTTGGAGACAGAGCTGGTAGTTTTTTTTATGCAAAGAAGCTGATTTGGTTTACAATAAAAAGAACTAAGCACACACTTGATTGAACCTTATTTTTACGTTTACTTTTCGTTATTTAAAAATGTTACCTGAAGCATAGAATAAATGTTGAGGAAGCCAGAGTGTGAGGTCTTGATACGTTGTATAATACTGTTTCTTGCTATCATCATTAATGCTGTTTTGCTTCCAAGAATCTTAACTATTCTCTGTCCTTTCATCCTGGACGTTTGTACTTTGTATGCTTTTGGAATTACTGCTGGGCACACAAGTGTTTTGATAACTTTACTATTAGTCATCTGGCGTCTGTTGGCTTTCCTGTCATTGAGACAACTTTGACCTCGCATCAGACTTCTAGGAGATTTGACTCCTGAAAGTTCTTTTGACATTTACTAACGTGTGAAAGGAAATGGGTACTCCCCTTTCCTTTGGCCATTTCCTTTTTAATTCTCAGTCGCCTTGAGAAAAAAGAAAAAAACAAAAAAAACCCAACTGATTCTCACTGCAGTTATTTTCAAGCAACGATTTTCGTGATTTGCTTTTAGAAAATTTCAGGAATGAATTCTTAAATTGTCACATGAAGTATGCATTTAAAAATGAATAGACAAAATGTTTTTAAAAGTAATTTTCACATTCAATAAAATTTTCATTGCTGGATTAGACACAAAGATTACTTGTTTAACTTACATTTTAAATGTACTGAGAAAATACGGACAGCAAATTTGAAGTTTCCTTTTGTGAATTTGATACTATTATCAATTGTTGATTAATATTTAGTATCTTATATTTTTGGTTGTGAGCCTAGCCTTTAACGACTGAGCCATCTCTCCAGTCCATTTTATCTAGTATTTTAATAATAAATCTATGTGGTGTTAAAAATCATTCGAAGATCTGATTCGATTATATCTTAAAACTTGATGTTTTATTATTTGGTATTGTTTCAATTCTTTTTGAAGCAAGACTGAACAATTTTCTCTAAATTTCTTTGTTAGCTGTTTAATTTCTGTAGCCACAAGTCATGTGGTTCCTGTAAAATATGAAAAGAGTAAAAATGGCCTTGACACGTAAGCAGCATTCTGCAAGCAGAAATACAAGAACATTTTGTATTTAAAATTTTTTTTTTACCTTTTTAGACTGCAGGTTCTCGTTTATAGTATTGTGCTCATCATATTGTGGCCAGAACTGATAAAAAAATCAGAGAAAAATAGCATTGATTTCAAAATAATTTCTATTTGGTAAATGAATTTTGTCCTCTTTTAGAAAGGGTTATATTTAAAGAATCTTTGTATAAGTTAGTCTGTGTGTGTGTGTGTGTGTGTGTGTGTGTCTGTGTGTGTGTGTGTTATAATCTGAGATGATGGCATTTTTGAAGCTGGATTTCAGAGGTGTAATAGCTGGTGTTTACTGAGTTCTTGCTGTGTACCAGCAAATATTAAAAAAGCTTTGCATAATTTTTTCCTCTGATCCTCCTGACAATTCTGTATTCTAGGTTCTTATGATTATTTCTCTTTTTCAGAGAGAGAGAGAGAGAGAGAGAGAGAGAGAGAGAGAGAGAGAGAGAGAGAGAGAATTAAGTACAGAATTTTAAGTGACTCATCATATAGTAAATTGAGGAGCCAGGATTATAGCCTGCATCCTTCCCTACCTCCTCAGTGCTAAGGGTCAGCAACAATTTCCTCTCCCTGGAACCGGAGCATGAAATTTGAAAGGAAGCTTGGACATTTATAAAGTAATGGTACAGGTACTGATCATACACTGCTGTGGTTCTGAATGTGTCAAAACTTTGTCTAACAGGTGGATCTCTGTGAGTTGGAGGTCAGCCTGGTTTACCTAGTGAGCTCTAGCCAGTGCTACATAGAGAAATCCTGTCACAGAAAAAAACAAAACAAAACTAATCAATCAAACAAAACCCAATTTGCCTGATCGTGAATTGGGTAGTGGTGCAGTTTCATTAAGTACCAAGTGACGCCGGGCGGTGGTGGCGCACACCTTTAATCCCAGCACTCGGGAGGCAGAGGCAGGCGGATCTCTGTGAGTTCCAGGCTGGGCTGGACCGACAGCCTCCAAAACAATACAGAGAAACCCTGTCTCGTAAAAACAAAACAAAACAAAAAAAGTACCAAGTGACTAGGGAGTGTCTGTGTAGATTTGGTATATATTGATGAAGCTATGTAACTGGTGGTTGCAATTAATGTAGTCCAGTAGGAAAAAAAATATTGCAAGACTAATAGTTATTATGCCATTCATTGGGCTCTTGGATAAATCACCCTTGTTGATGGTGGTGTTTTGAGGCAATGTGTAGTCTAGGTTGAATGCAAGCTCAGTTTCCCAAATGTTGGGATTACAGGTTCCAGCTACCAAGTCTGGTGTACTAGATAAATAATTTCCTTTGAATCCCTTTTTACTCTGATTAATTCTTGGACTCCTTAATTCTAAGAATAGCTGGTATGCAAAAAATTGGAATTTTTTAGAAAATGTACTTGCTTAAAATAAATTATCTTAATAGAAAATTATTAAATGCACTGCTAGCTTTAATTAGGTAATTTAGGCTTACCTAAGGGTCAGCTTTGTAATATGTTTGAAATAATCCTCTTGTCTATATTTTGGTTTTACATATCTTCAGTACTATAATTGTTTAGAGTGAGAGAATCGTCTTTAGCATTATTAAGTGGTTAGTGAATTTTGTCAATTACTGCAATTTTAGGAATCTGAGATTCTTGATAAAATGTTTTTTTTTCTTTGTAGTCTAATTATACTGAATTATGCAACATACTTTTCTTTTGGGGGGGAGGACCTTTTTTAACCCTAAAAAGTTTTTTTTTTGGTTTTTCGAGACAGGGTTTCTCTGTATTGTTTTGGAGGCTGTCCTGGAACTCACTCGGTAGACCAGTCTGGCCTCGAACTCACAGAGATCCGCCTGCCTCTGCCTCCCGAGTGCTGGGATTAAAGGCGTGCACCACCAACCGCGGCATATGGTGATTTTTTTGTTACAAGATAATTTGCAGCCACAAAATCTTCATATCATGCAGCAGTCATTTATTTCATTTCATTTGTGCTTTTTTGTGGGCCCAAATCTGAAGGGAGAGTAACACTTACCCAGAAGAAGCGTGTGTCAAGGCAGTGACAGAAGGGCATATTTCCAGACTGCTCCTCTAGCATCCCATTGGCCTGTTGAATCATACCTCTACGTGGAAAGACTAGGTATATAAAATAGTACTTTTTGCATATAGTGAGGCTACATAAAACATGGATGCATAGTATACCACAGAGTAATGAAGAATTCAAATTCCAAGTCTACCTCAGAGAATTGGGGAAATGGCACTAGGAGGGGTTTCTCTTACCATTTGAATGGGCTTTTGCATGAAAAGCATACAAGCTTTGGTTTCTGCATCCTGGGTATGTCCTGTGATGTTAGTGTTGGTGTCGTCTCTGCAATCTAAGATGTCTGCTTTACAGGGCTAACCCTTCCCTGCTTAAAAGGCAGGTATTTTTCTCTTCCTTTCTTTTGGTTCTGGAGATTCAAGAGCCCTCTGCCACTGGGATGGAACCTTAGCTGAAGACCAGCTTTTTTTTTTTTTTAAACATTTAAGAGAAGAATTTGAATATTGGTTTCTGATGGGTAAGTTCTAGGTACTAAATGAAGTTACATCAAATTAGTTAATTCTATTACTGGCCACACCACTTATTTTGGCACCTACTCATGCAGCTTTGCTGTTGAATATCAATTTTATGTATTGTCTTCTCTCAACTGGTAACTGTATATGCAGTACAGAATTCAGCCAGGCAGTTGGGGTGGGGAGCACGCCTTTAATCCTGGCACTCAGGAGGCATTGAGGCAGGCAGATCTCTGAGTTTCAGGACAGCCAAGGCTACACAGAAACATCCTGTCTTGAGACCTCCACCCTTCCCCAAAAAACTTTCATTTTATGATGTTAAGGATTAGACTCCAGGTTTCCTGTGTACTGGGCAGACATGCTTATCACTGAGCTATATCCCAAGCCTCTTATTTTGAGATTGCTTTATAATCTGCCATATTGCTATGCACATAGAGGATGTTTAAGAAAAACTTAATGAGTGAATTATAAAAAGGAATTGGAGGGCTGGAGTGATGGCTGAGAGGTTGTGAGCATTTGTTGCTCTTTCTGAGAATTTGGTTTTGGTTCAGCACCCACCCAAATGGTAGCGTAAAACCATCTATCACTCTGGTTCCAGGAGATGTGACCTCATTATGGTCTTTGCAGGTACCAGACCTACATATGGTACACTTCATGTACATAGAAGCAAAATATTTGTATACATGAAATAAATCTTTAAAACAAATGGAAAGGAATTGAAACACTTTATTTTAGCATGCATATAGAGGTTCAGTGACAAATTTGTGGAGTCATTTTTTCTCTTTCTACGTTTATGTGGGTTTTGGGGACTGAGTTCTACTTGTCAGGCTCATTGGCAAGGACCTTTTCCCCACTAAGTCTTCTTTTTTTCTCTGTGTAACAACCCTGGCTCTCCTGAAACTCACTCTGTAGACCAGGCTAGTCTCTAACTCACTGAGATCTGCCTGCCTCTGCCTCCCAAGTGCTGGAATTAAAAATGTATGCCACCACTACCTGGCCCCAGTAAGCCTTCTTAATAATAGCCGACTTTTTCTTGGTCT